CGCCATTCTAAATGCCCTTCCTCATATTGTTCACGATGAAACAAGCACACAAAGGAAGTCCAGTGTCGGTTTGGCTTCCCAAAGGACCTTGAAGAACTCACTAGGGTTGTCAATAATGAGAAAGTGATCATTGATCTTTGTACAAGGAGAAATGATCCAATCTTGAACTCCTACAATGACACTGTCATCCTGGGTTGGCGTGGGAACATTGACTTCCGTCCTGTGACAAGTTTTGGTGCTGTCCTGGCATATGCTGCAAAATATGTCACAAAGGCTGAATCAAAATCTCGAGCATATGATGAAGTCCTGCAAACCATCCTTGACAAGTCTGATGCTTCAGACAGGGTGCAAGGGGTATATTTGAAATTACTCCAGACCCTCATCACTGAGCGAGACTTCTCTGCTCAAGAGGTCTGCCACCTTCTTCATGGTTTGAAGATGCACCATTCTACACGCTCCTACATATCTGTCCCACTTTCCCCAAGACCCTCACTCCCCCTTGACTTTGAAAATGCAACAAGAGAGTTCAAGACACTCAGGGAGAAATACAGCTCACATCCTGAGGGTCTTGAGGATCTTCCCTACATAACATTTTTGCGAAGGTATGATCTTCACAGCTATAGAGCACATGGAGAAAATCCAGAGCGTGCAAATGCTGCAAAGGAATGGGTCACCATCATGTATCCAATCCTACACCCAGACCCTGAAAATGAAGACACCTATCCCCTCTTCTGCTATGCAAAATTGCTACTTCATTTTCCATGGAAACTAGGGGATGCTTGGCTGGAGGATGAGGATTGTTGGGTGGAGAAGTGGACTGAATGGTCCAAAAACCGTGAACTTCTGGATGATGGACTACCCTCTTTGGACCAGAGCAGAACTGATGATCAGGATGGTGAAGATGATGAGGATGACCTGGAGGACCTCACACAGGAGGAGGGTTTAAACCCAAGAGCTGATTGGCAGTTTGAAGCATTACTTGGGCCCAATCAACAACCAGATGTTGAAATCACAGCATTGGGAACAAGGCCTGTGGACCTTCAACACAACTGGAGCCAGTCTTCACCACCCATTGATATTCTCAGGGATGCAGAAAAGTTCTTGAAGGAGGCAAAAGTCACTGAAGGAGGCAGTTCAGATCTGGAATTCACTCCAGTTGAATACCAGAGGCTGAAAGGCAACCAGAGAATTGTCTTCATTCGGGTTATGGCATACTTCAAAGCACTATTCAGGCACCTGCAAGACCATACCAACCCTAAGCCAAACCCTCTCCGCATCAACATTGATGGAAGCGCTGGGACTGGAAAATCCTTCCTCATAGGGGCCATATGCACATCCCTTAATGACCTTGCCACTGGATATGGCATCCTTGGACCCACAGGTGTGGCAGCATTTGGAATTAGGGGCTGGACAATCCATTATGCTCTGGGAATTGGTGCCAAGAAGTGGGCAGGGTTAACAAATTCTGGGAAAGCACGTCTTCAAGCCTGGTGGAAGGACATCAAGTTGATTATCCTTGATGAGAAGTCAATGGTTGGGTGTAGAACTGCTGGAAAGGTCATCAGTCGCCTCAAAGATATCTTCCCTGAAGCAGCAGATGACCAACTGGCTGGCATGTCCCTAATCCTCTTTGGAGACTTCTGTCAACTCCCACCAGTTGGTGAAGCCCCTTTATTTACCACAGCTAATCTGAAGCATGACCTCAGCTGTGTTGGAAATCGTCTCTATCATTCCATTCCTGAGTCAATCATCCTCAAGCAAATCTTCTGCCAAGAAGGTGTGGATAGAGAACAGAGACATTTCCGTGATTTCCTTCAACGTCTTCGGACCAATGAGGTCACTTTGGATGATTTCAGCCAACTTCTGGTTCCATGCATGTGGAATAGTCTCCCCCAGCATGAAAGAGAGAGTTTCTCAACAGAAATTCATCTCCTCCCACACAATGAGCTTGTTGATACCTTGAACCTTCATCGATTAGCATCATTAAATAAACCTGTTGTTCGTATCAAGGCAATAAACCATGGGACAGGGGCAGCAACTGCATCCAAAGAAGAGGCAGAAGGTTTGGACAATGAGATTTTGCTAGCTGAAGGTGCTTCTGTCATGCTCACCTGGAATATTTGGACAGATAAAGGTGAGACATATAAATATATGGTTTTCCCCACAAGGCACTGATGTAATGGCAGGTCTTGTAAATGGTGCTCGTGGAACAGTGGAGTGTATTGGATATGCACCTCATGCTGATCCCACAAAAGACATTCCTCTGGTTGTTTTTGTATGCTTCCCAGCATACACTGGCCCTGTGGATCCAAGGTGGCAATCTCAAGCCAATCCAGATTGCCCAGTTGTGCCCATTACCCCCTTCACTACACGTTGGGACACTCGAGATGGACACTCACTTTCCCGCACTCAATTTCCACTCACCCTTGCATGGGGTATATCCATCCACAAGAGTCAAGGTCTAACACTTGAAAGGGCAGTGATTGATTTGGGACCAAGTGACTTTGCAGTTGGATTATCATATGTTGCAATCTCACGGGTCAAGTCCATCAAGGGAATTGCATTCAGAACATCATTTGACCTGACCCGTCTCCAAAAAGTCAATAATCCAGAAGGTGGGATTCGGGGAATGTTGCTCCGAGATAATGTTAGACATGAACAGCTTGATTTTCATGAAAACCCATATGATGTTGATGTATCTGAATATGTATTTTTAGATGATGATTGATTGATTGGGTCCTCTTCCTCTGACATCTATACATGCAGTCACATCCAGCAGCACAGTATGCCCAGAGAGTAATTGCCATGGGTTGAGGCAGTGGTTTGTTGGCTGAGCTTGCAAGGCATGCATTTGTTTGGGTAAGGGCTGTGTGTGTGCGGTGTGCAAGTGTGGTGTGTGAGTGCGGTGTGCAAGTGTGGTGTGCAAGTGCGGTGTGTGAGTGCGGTGTGCAAGTGTGGTGTGTGAGTGTGGTGTGGTATGTGGTGTGAGTGTGGTGTGCTGTGTGCTGTGTGCTGTGAGTGTGAGTGTGGTGTGCTGTGTGCTGTGTGTGTGAGTGTTGAGTGCTGGGTGCTGAGTGTGCTGGGTGCTGAGTGTGCTGTGTGCTGTGTGCTGTGTGAGTGAGTGAGTGTATGCATGCCTGGAAAGTAATTGCCCATGGGTTGGGTTGGTGGTTGGGGGTTTGGGTTAGTGGTTGGGTCGGGTAGGGGGGTTGGGAAGTTGGGTATGGGGCTGTGGTGTGGTGGGAACGTATCTCTTTAATAATGCCATATGGAGCAGAGCAGGACAGCCCCTGCAGTGACCAATGTGGAGTAAGGACAGGGAGCAAGTGCAGAACACATGGCTAGCTGTCTCTGATTAATATCAGGTACACTATGATGGCAACTTAATAACATTGATTTCCCTGGGTAGCATGTATATATGCAATCCTGCTTCCATTTTTATCAGTCACCTGCCAAGACTTTAACCCACATAGATGTGGAGGAGTGTCCATGCACCCTCCCTCTACCTGACATCTAGGGCTCCTAGCAGATCAGACCCATATTGGCATATCTTTGTGGGCCAATCTGAATGTTGGGGACATAGCATATGACTACATATATCACCGCATGTAGCTGCATCAGCCCATAACTCTCTCACCCCTTTCCCTGATCTGACTCCGCCCCTTGAGCTGAGTATCTCCCTGCTTTTATTACTTTGTTGCCTACCTCATCATTTAGTTCTGTTGATCCTTTTTCTTCCAATTGATTCATATCTCTCATGTATATAGCCCTATGTGTTGCTGAGGGTTGGAACCTCAGCTTTGTCTATGACTAGGTTTTTGGGTGATACTTGACTTGAACTGACAAGTGATCCCTGACACTGAATGCACATTTCAATCTGTGGATATGGCTCAGATTCTTGGATTGGGTATGGAGTTTATTTACTGCAACAAATAGACCATTGCCTGAACTAAACACTTTGCATACAAATGAAGATGGCATATATTTGAAATTGCAGTACGGTTTGTTAGAGGGTTCCTCCCAAACTGGATGGCCAAGCTTGCAGTGCAGTGCCGAAGGCACTGCAAGCTCGGCCATCCAGTTTGAGGGGAACCCTCATAACAATTGTAGCCTGGTATGTCCTGAAAGCACTTCAAAGGCACTATAGTTCCTGAATTTTTTTTTTGATTTTTTCCCTATATTTTTTTTTTCAACTTTTCAGAGACCAAAATTTTCCTTCCACTGCTCCTGGCACATTGCATACTCATCATGTTGGAATACAAGTCACATGATGAAACTGAACCGGAATATCCGGGAATATTCTAGGGGTTACTAGGTGCCTGCATAAGCGCTGGGCATAGAAGAGCCTGGAATATTGTTGAGAAGTATGAATATGGGCACTGGAGCACCGTGTGTATTTTAGTTATATTTCTTTCTATATTACATCTGGGTTGCAAGTGAACCGCTGAAGCGGGTTGCCATATTTGGAACTCCGGATTTACAACACATCACCACTCCCAGCTGCTCCTGAACCCCCTCCCAGGAGAACACTATTGGCTCCAGGAGTGCCCAATCTGCTGTTTTGTCTCCTACATGCTCCAGCCACTCTTGATGCTCCGGAGCATAACGGACTTTTGCTGATGAATATATAAACCATTAAATCTCGTGTGCACACCGGGTACTAACTTCACAACCTTCAATGTGCTCCCAATGGGTTGGGTTGATGACCGCATGCACTCACACTGAAATTGCATTGCACAACTTATGTACAGCTCGTAGTTCAGGCGATTCAATCCAATGCAATTCAGTAGCCATATCTGTGTTATTATCGAGGACAAAACACTCGAGTTAAACAAACAATAACAGCTTATTGCGCCAGTCGCTTACGCAGTTTCGCCGCGCCGATATACTTCGGCGAAACTCACGTGAGCGACTGGCACTGAGTCTGCCTTGCAAGCAAGGTAATTTTTGACCACTGACAGTTTCCCATATATAGACCACAAAGGGGCCAAGTAAATCCTATGGCGACTGCAGCGGCAGCCCCTACAGTTATAAAACTGCCACTTGGTAGTATTCCTCGATGGGAGGAAGGCGAAGATGATGCCAGTCTGATAGAAGACAATCGGGGCGAGGACGCTGAGCAGCAAGCCACAAAGACTCTTAAATCAATTCCAGAGGTACGCCAGTTCAGTCCCTTGCACCGTTCGCTGGACTAACTAGCCGTTGATGGTAGAGGCAAGTATCAGTGCAGTGTCATCACCACGGCCAGAAAGCTTGACACACTGCTTTGCAGTCTTGTGCTTCTACATACTCTGAGACAATGTAGGCGCCCTATACACGCTCTCTCGAGTGCTGAAATGAACGCCTACTCTTCAGCCCGTTCAAGGTGGATCAACAACCCTCCTTTAACTAAATTTTCTGTGCGACATCGAGGGAAAACCACTATTGATATTCACCAGCCCCCACATAGTCTTGTCTTTCTGGGAAGATGTGATGTAGAGATAGGACCGCATGTTTTCCTCGACACGAAGTTCATGGAGGTGCAGTGGGACAACATGTACCAACCACTGACTTCTGCGGGCTCAGCGCCTCCGACTCTCTTGCTCAGGACAGACATCATCATCGAGCTTAGGGAGAACTCTGCGGAACGTTTCCTATTGCCATTAGACGGTGCCGTGGTTGAGCGAGCTTCTGAGCGCGGTCAAGTGTTCACTTTACTCTCGCTTCTACTGGACATCCCTCCTGAATCGACTCCAACTGGTACTCCCAATGCTAGCACCAAACAGCCAGTCAACATGAGACTCGCCCAAGGCACTACTTCCATTTGGGAGGCATTAGATAGGCGTATAAATGCAACGTCTCCATCAAAGCGCAGTAAGGCAGAGGAGGACTTCAAGAAGGTGGTACATGGCGCATTCTTTGAGGGTTCTTGTCCTGATGATGCTAGTTCAGGCGGTCAACAAATTCCAACGAGTATTTCCCCCACATCGTCTTCCGTCCGGAGCCTTGTTTGATGAAATCGAGGAGGTATGATCATTCTGTCATAGCCTTCGATGAGATCACAACTAGCGCCATCAGTCTGTTTTAGATAAAATAAGGCCTGCTCCGCTGCAGGCTAGAGCGCTGCGAATAGGACCACCAACTCCTGTTGCCCCGCCAGCCAAGCGTAGGCCACCACCAAATGCGAACAAAGAGAAATCAGTGCCCAAGGCTGTTGCTGCGGAGGGATCTACTATAATAGCGACTGAGGGATCATCAACAAAGAAATACGAGAGAAGGACAAAAGTGACATGTACCGTTTGCAGTAAAGCTATCGCACGCAAGACGGATGACGTGTCGAGGGAAGGATATAGTAGGCATCATTTAGTCCTAGAGGACTCCGCTAACCTCATTCATAGAGCCTATGTGTCGGCTGTGCGCTTTTGAAGCAAGAAAAGCAGCTCGAGCCTCAGCGAAGGCTTATGCCGCCTCCGTTGCTGCTTCTCGAGGCCCAACACCAGGCCTCCAAGTGGAAGTAGTTGTCCCACGACCCCCTCACACCACAACACCGGGTCACACATACAGCTACTATTCAACATACCTCCCTCCGCAGCAGCGACCCCCATACGCCCCCGTCTATACGCAATCACCATACCGCAGTATATCGGGAACACCTACAAATCTCACTGCCGCCTCTACTTCTGGTTCTGCAAGTGCGTCCACACATACTCCAGTTAACGCCGCCTCCCCTTCAAGACCGCCAACTTATCCTTACGCTGGCACAGTATCCTCATACCCGTACTTTACCCCAGCGTCAGGTTCGACGTATCCAACAAGACCATATGGTATCCCGGGGTATTACAATGCACAGTCCGCTCAAGAATGGGCTCGATCAACGTTTATCACAACTCCTGGAGTGCATTCACCAGAATTACCAAGAGTCCCGCTTTCGACAGACAGGACCCCCGTCACTCCCACACCCCCAAACCCGGCCTCTACTTCTACTTCTGCTCCTGCTCCAACCTCAAAACCAATGCCCATCGACCCTACTCTTGAGGAACCACATGCATAAATCCCAGGCAGACCCTGCGATGTCAAGTTTATAGTACTGTGATGTTTTCAGTAATGGATACAATATGATTAAGCTACAATGGTATGTATGTATGCATAGGCATGGTATATAATTGTGAATGAGTGCAAGAATGCGGGTGAAAAAAAAAGGAAATCTGAACAGATGAGGAATTAGCAAATAATTAGATGGACAGGATTAGCCGGAGTGTAGCTGAGGGGTCGTGATATACCAAAATATGACAAGCGACGATACAAACGCGGCATTTTTCCAATGTCGACGCAAAAAACTGACGAAAGCCCGGAAGATTACGATGCACACCAGGACAGGATAACGGAACAAAGCGAAATTCGAGAGCCAAAGGCCGAGCGAGTAACTCAGACTCCAGTACTTCCCAGTTAAACTGAACATGATCGCGACAACGCTGAGGGTAATGACAGCAATGAAAGTCAATGCGACGCGAACCCAGCGAGGCAGAACACGCCAGATGGGATATAAAAGCCAGCGGATAATGAAGCCAACTAGTTCGAGTGTATACTCGATGACCGGAGCCAGCATTTCGCGTGCCCAAGGGGGCAGAGAGGAGATGTACGGGAGGGTACTTTGGCCAGAAGCGGATAGTTGACGGGCGAGGTCGATGTTGCGGCCGAGCTGAGCAAGAAACTCTGAGGGAGATAGTGAGGTGGAAGGAAAGGACGCACCTCAGGATAGGCCGTATCTATTCTCATCGCCGCTGCTTCGCAGTAGGGCAACACTCGACCCATGGATTCCGTCACCTTAGCCTGAAGCAATCTAAGTTCTTCCAACTCCTTTGCAACAGATGTCCAATATTCTTCTAGTCCAGCGGTAGCCTGCAACATCGTCATCACGCTAGCCGCAGGTTCGTGTATAGGGGGAGGATGCGACCAGGGAGGCTGAGTAGGGCTGGATTCAAAGAATTTCTGTAGATGCGTGAGGCTCTCCTCTCGCCTGTAATGCCTCATGTCCACATCCAACCAAGTTCCCTTTGTGGAGGCACCTTCCCGTGGGGAAGAATCAGGTATAGGAGCGAATGCATGAAGAAGGTCAGAAATGACATCGTCACTTTCACCACCCAAGGTAGAATCCATGAGCATCTTCAGCTGCACGTAGGTTGCGACTTGAGTTAACGCCATAGATGTGATGGTGGTAATATTGTGATCCTGCAGGTGCAATCGTTGAATGAGCCTTTGAAGAGAATGAGCAATCCGTTTTGGGGCGCAAAATATTTACGACTAACGAGGCGCGCATAGCATAAATATTCCTCTGCCTCATTTCCATACGTTCTCTGCGGATCTTTCCTCCTTTCTGTGCCACAGATTCTCCACGTGGTATTGTGTGCGAGAATCTGGAAATTGGATTCGCTGTGAAGGGATGGTCCAGCACCGGCCCGGGAGTCGGTGTAGGGGCAGGCAGAGACGATTCTTCCATCCGCTTAATTTCTCCAGCGGGCGAACTTTGGGGATCATCAGAAATCTGGGCATTATTCCTAGCCACGCTGGGGGTGGGCAGTGCTAACCGGGCTATGAGTGGCCCAACCCACCTACGAGAACTGGAGCGGCCCATTGGAGAACGAGCCTTGCTCGGCGACTGAGATTTTCCAGCCGGATCATCTTCGCTGGCAGAGAGAATCTGATCAGGCTGGGTGCTCCTGCGGGAAATTGACTGTGGAATGATAGCGAGGACGCCGTCGTCACGCAGGCCAATGTTTGCGTCACCTTCACCGTCTGATCCCGAAAAATCAGAAACATCGGCACCATCGCTAACATGCGTGCGAATTAGTCCCAGGCCGGGAACGTACCCAAGATCCCTTCTGCTGCTCGATGGAGAAAATTCTTGCGAGGACCTTGGCTGCTGGGGTGACGAGAGACTGGCCCGTGAGACTCCAGCTCTGGGCAGATGCCGGATGCCAGATAACGATAAATGGAAACCTCTGTGATTGATTCTCCGTGAAGCTTCACGGTCGGATGAACTGCGGGGGGACATGTCCCCTACAGGTGGTTGCATTGAAATCATGTAAACCTGCTGTCCTGAACTTGATGGGGATGGTGACGTAGAAGGTCCATAGAGAGGAAGGTCCACAGAGCCAGGGTAATCATTGGCCCAGTGGTCTTCTAAATCCTGATCTCTCTGGACGTACTCTGACACAGCTTGAGCGGTGACATGCCAGTCGACCATTTCCTTCCGGCTATGGAGGGGCTGAAGAAATTTCAGATAAAGAGTAGCGAGATGGGGCAACCATTGAAGCTGGTGCGACTCGACAGCGTACGGGGAAGGTGTCTGCGCCTCCTCAATTGTTCTCAACGGAACAGGTGCACTAGCAGAAGTGCGGCTCTTCAGGGGTCCAGAAAGGTGAGTACTTCCAGTAGGAAGGACAAGCCGCGGACTAATTGAGCGGCGGAGTTCGAATGTAGTTCTGCGCCACTTTATTACATCAAGCAAGTTTGGGGGTCGTTCGCGTCGAGCAATAGCGGAGTAAATCAGAGTATAACGATGTTCTAACTGAGCTCTCGCTGCCTGGGCACGTTCAATAGTGCTTGGGCGAAGTGCCTCGCGATATGCACGAATCCTGTTTTCTGCAGATCGGTTATATATTAGCACACATCGAAGGGGTGAAATTCTCACCGGCCTGTAGATAACGCAATGCTTGACCGGTGTCATCAGAATGCTGAAAGGCTATCCCTTCCTTGTGCCTTCCGGAGACTTTCTCCTTGATCCCCAAGAAAAGATCGCCCAAATGACGACGATGGGTCCCTTGTCGTAATTTGGGTGACTCAGAGGCAAAGAATAAGTTACTGTCAACAGGTCCAAAATCTCCGGCTTTAGATATGAATGCATCAGTGGGAGGCCTGGTAGGCTCAAAAGTTTGCCGAGGGGAAGGGGGCGTATTTATCCATGCAGATTCAACTGCAGTCAAAGAGGGTGGAGAAAGGGTTGGAAGGGCAGCGGGATTAATGCTTTCAACACGCCGGTGCAATTCCGCGATTTGTGCCTGAAGGAGAGGGTCTACACTACGTTAATATAAGGAGAGATGAGCAGGACAGTTGTGTAGCGCACCATTGTGAAAGGGGTCATCAAGGAGACCAAGGCCAAAATCAACTGGCCAGTCATTCCATCTTCCGCTAGATCTGCGGGACTTCATGCGCCGTTTCTGCCCTTCGGGAGTGCACGGAGAAGACGGGGTATTCGGCTTCCCCTGCGAAGACATTGTTCGAGATCGGTCAACACTCGCAATAAGACTCCTGTTAGACTTCGCAACAGTGCCGAATGACCCGGGTTCGGGGCTTCCTCTCATTGAGCTGTCCTTCTCTCCCGACCCAAGAGACCGTGAGGAGAAAGCAGTTATTTGTGAATGCTGGCTGTGATGACGACGTGACGCCTCGGCCGATGAGCGGCTTTGTTTTTCTGACCTAATAACAGTGGGCTGCCTCCCAACATCCGCCATGGACCAGCCTGATTCTATCCCTATGGGCTCCAGAACGTTTGGAGCTGGGTATGCGATGACTGGTAGGCTTGTTTGCCAAAATAAATGACAGCCCACTTTGGAAAGAGTTCGGTAGCCACCGATTGAATTCCCTGAGATCCACCATGGTCAGCGTTCTCCATCACGGAATCGGATATTTCTGATATTTTGTTATGCAGCCCCCCAAATCAAAGAATTCTGGGCTGGGTCGTGCCATTCTAAACAAAAGAGCAAAAGAAGTAAAAGAGAAGCGTTTGAACAATGTACGCCGAGTCCGACCGTTTTTGCCAGCGAGGACGCTGCATCTCATCCAGTCGAATTTCACACCAGTCTGAAGACGACGTTAATCACCGCAACAACCTGCAATCAATTACTCAAGAACGAGATTTGGATGAATTCCTGAATACTGCCCAACTTGCTGCCACCGATTTCACTGCTGGTGAGCAGCCTTTGGACAGCACATAGCACTTGGGCTTGAGCCTTATCTGCAGAAAAGCGAAGCATAAAAATTATTACAGCACCTGGCCTCAAGCAGTCCTCCGCAGCTAACCCCTTCCTCCTTTCCCTGGATGAAGAAAAGGTCGTGCTACAAAAGCATGCGCAGTTTCAGCAAAACCTTCGGGTCCCTAGACGACCCCCTTGGTCGAGAAACATGACACCCAAAGAGATTGATCGCCAAGAAAAGGATGCTTTTCTTGATTGGAGAAGAAATCTGGCAGAGTAATATCATTTGAATTCCCATCCGTGACTACGTCGCTGACCCTAGACGATTAAAGGCTTCAAGAAGCACACGACCTCCTTCTCACACCATTTGAGCGCAATATCGAAGTTTGGAGGCAACTCTGGCGTGTGCTGGAGCGATCTCATCTCATCGTCCAGATTGTCGACGCGCGCAATCCCTTGCGATTCCGTTGTGAAGACTTGGAGAAATACGTTGATGATGTGGAGGGACCAGAGGGTGAGATGGGTACGGGTAAGGGTTTGAGGCGTACACTGCTGCTGTTGAACAAGGCAGATTTGCTCACTGCAGACCAAAGGTGATTCCACTGTGATGTTGTTTGCCTAAATGCTCATGGGGACCTTGGTTTCAGATTGAAGTGGGCTGAATACTTTGAAGAGAACAAAATTCGATACGCCTTCTTCTCGGCTGCAAATGCAAATGCCTCACAAGAAGCTCGACGCGCCGCTCAACTGCAATCTGCAACAATACCATCCAGAAATGATAATACCCGCGCGGAGGGATATGAACACAAGGGCAACAGTAAACAAGGAAATGGGAATATGATATTTCAGGAGAAAAGCGACAACGGGGAGGCGAAGTCTCAGCCAACTGTTGATGATGTAGATTCTGATGCGTCACACACGTCGGATGTAGTGGGAGCCGCCAGTGATGACGAGTCAGAGGGATATTTAGGAGACATCCCTGCGTGGGCCCGAGCAAAGGCAGAATCGGAGCTTGAAAATCAAGACCCCCGTGCTCGAGTGCTTTCGGTGTTGGAATTGGAAGAGTTATTCATTACATCTGCCCCGGACTTGCGAAGTGAGCACACGGTCTAAGTTCTTGTAAATTCTGCCCTAATATCCTTTGCTATAGGTTTTGCTCAGAACAGTGAATCACCTCACAAACTTGTGGTTGGCTTGGTAGGGTATCCTAACGTCGGGAAATCGAGCACCATCAATGCTCTCATAGGCGAGAAAAAAGTGTCTGTCTCTTCCACTCCTGGGAAGACCAAACATTTCCAGACTATCCATCTCTCTCCTTCCATTATGCTCTGCGATTGTCCCGGTCTAGTCTTCCCTCAGTTTGCCACCACCAAGGCAGAACTGGTCTGTGACGGTGTACTGCCGATCGATCAGCTAAGGGAGTACACTGCACCAGTAGAGCTCGTGGTCAGGAGGATATGGCCCGAGGTTTTGGAAGGCATTTATGGTTTGCAGATACGGCGGAAGGGCGAGGACGAGGGAGGAGACGGAAAGATGATACATGCAGATGATTTGTTGAAGGCTTATGCAAGTGCGTCTTTTGAACCCCGAACCCGATTCTCAACGACATAATCGTGCATACCAACAGTTGCGAGAGGATTTTCCAGGTCAGGTCAAGGAAATCCTGACGAGGCTCGTGCGGCGCGCTACGTACTCAAGAATTACGTTGAAGGCCGACTTCTGTTCTGTCATCCACCACCCAGAGCGTCGGGAGAAGAATTTAACACTGCACAGCAACAATTTGCTCTTGATGCCCTTGTGGCAGCAAGTAGGAAGCGTGCGCCTATCACCCGAGTTGGGAAGAATGCAGATACCTACGTCGACGTATCGGGGTCAGGGCTGCACAAGGCAACACATGCAATCGGTCAGAGCCAGAAGTCGCAACAGATTGATGCAGATTTCTTCAGTGTAGGAACGGGCTTGTCTGATCGACCACGTGCTACTGGATCGGGTAGACCTGGCACTTTGGGCCCTGGCTACACGCGGACGATGCTATATCCTCATCAGAAGCTCATTGGAAATGATGGACGACCTATCGAAGGACCCCTTGTTGTACAAGTCTCATCGGGCAAAAAGCAGTTTAAGAAAGGGAAGAAGCACGTAAAACACAGGAGCGGGAGGGGATACGATTAACAGATGGAAAGGTGACTGTAAGCGTGAGGGCGTAAACCTCCAGCAATCATCCCATGTCAGTGGGATGAGGTAGTGGTGTTGGACTGTCATCCCATGTTACAACCTTGCTGTCGGTGTCTTCCGTTCCATGGTCTCGGCGACGATGGGCACCCAGGCGAATGCGACTTGGGAAGAGACGATGGCAGTCTGATTTCCTGGGGTCAGTTGCAGTGAACGTAATTTTCTGAGGCTGAATGCTACTGGCCGTTCATCGTGCAAATGAATATGGCGGTCCTGGTGCATGGCAATCTGCTCAATTGGGCATATGGCATGAAATTATGTGAGCGTACGATTGAGGGGTTGCTCTGGTTCCAACTGCGCCCTGGATGCTTTCGATAGTAGCATGAGCTATGGGCAACTGACGTGTGATTCGATGAAAGCATTTATCAGAGTTGGCGCTTACGGTCGGGAGACACAACCACCCCCTGCATCTTCCTCACACAAACCTCAGTCTGCGAGCTCGCCATAGATGTGACAGCCGCGTGTCCAGTGGCAGTGCAGTGACAAATTGGCGCTCTCACGCTCAGAACGCATACACTCCGCACCTTGGACAACCACTATGTGGGCCTTTATAATGAGATAGGAGCTATCGCGTGTAACTCAGTCTTGTAATGGAGAACTAATATTAAGATATTTTACCTATCGCGCATAACTGTAACATGAAAATACAATGAGTTATGCGCAAACACAGATAGGAAAGAAATGGTATCACCTCAGTCTCGTAATGGAGAACTGAGGGAGGGAGAAAAATTACGGTGTCCAGCATAACTTATACGACTGGAGCCAATATTGCTCAAAGCGATTGCCAGTGACAACTGGCGATATAAGACAAAGAAAATTGGGAGCGCGTGGTATCGCGACTCTGAAACAAAAGGTATAGTCATTGTTAGTCATGATGATATTACAGCAAGAGACAAAAAAAACGGCCGATCAGATTTTGTTAAACATATCGGGAACAAGTCAGCTGTTCGATTATTTTAGGAAAATTTGAGCACTTATTACATATTGTGTCCCAATGACACTCCTCCGTGCCAAATATGGCTAGCCCGCATTTCCCGTTGTGCGACAATGGGCAAACACCTTAAACCCCCAGCCAGAGAGCTCTTGATTACCATGTCTGAGACTATGAGCAAATTTCAGAAGCTATACAAGTGCCTGCACGCACTGTCCGGAAGATTCTTGCACACCCGGAAAGACATCAACGTGGCCCCCTCACTGAAACTCGCGGCCGACATCGCTGTCTGAATGTCCATTCTATCAATGTAGCTATCCACATATTGGATTCCACTGCCCTCTAACTCTTTGCTGTAGTTTCTAGATAGCCTCATTGAAATGAAGCCCGACCTCATGCTCTCTGAGCTCCGGACTGCTCTCATCAATGAGTTCCATATTGAAATCAGTGAGCGCACAATTTCCCGTGAAATGACGCGTCGCGATCTAACATACAAGAAGGTATTGAGTCACTTTCTAACTATGGCAATACCATTGATGTCTATTTCAGGTTCAGAGAATAGCCGCCGAGCGTGATGAAGGAAGACGCGCGGACTTCAGACAGTACATGGGGGGAAACTACCAAGCAGAACACCTAGTATTTGTAGATGAAACAGGTGTTAGCCGTCAGACAGGAACCCGGACTCATGGTTGGTCACCCCGTGGAGAGCGTGCCCGGCGTCGCGACTTCTTTATTCGCGGCATAAAGTATGTGATCCTAAGGTTTAGATGGCATATTATGAATTAACAACCACAATACTAGATATTCTGTCCTTCCAGCAATGTCACTGGAAGGTATTCTGCATTGCGACATTTAGGTCGGAGCATACACAAGCGAAGCATTTGATCATTTTATCGAAGCACTACTTACAAAAATGAATCCATTCCCTCAACCAAACTCGGTCCTCGTGATGGACAATGCCCCTATTCACAAATCCAACCATCTTGTACAAATGTGTGAGGATCGGTGAGTATCCTAATATTTATGTGGCATTATTATTCTAAACCTCAAATGGTGCAGCGGTGTCCGGGTGGAATTCCTCCCCCCTTACTCCCCAGATTACAACCCCATTGAAGAGGCATTTTCATCCATCAAACACTGGTTGCGACGCAATCGTGCATATGCCGATAATGAGCTCGCATCATACCTTCAACGCTGGAAGAGACCCCAGCAGAAGACGGGCAGTAGGCAGTTGCCATATAGGTCATGTGTGCTAAAACAGCGGTGTATTCTAATTCTAATTTGACCCTGATTTTGCTCCCGATTTGGATCATCACGAGACCCACCCGTGACGTTTAGCAAATTTTGATCGGCCGTTTTTTTTGTCTCTTGCTGTAAGTTAAAGTAAAGACTCCCCAATCCACGCTGCAGCTCGGCTGTTGTCGATGAGCGTTGATATTCCAACACTTTATAGGGGGGACCTCAGGACATTTGCATGGGACTGTCAGGGCATGCCTTCAGGTCACTAGCATAAGTAGCACATTGCCACATGACCCGTATCTCCATCAGCTTCTACTTCTTTTCTTCTTCTTCTTCATCTCCGATCTGATCCGAACTGCAGCTGTCGGTTATGATGCTGCATGATCTTCTATCTTTCTTGATCCGATACTACCAGTTATTAGCTAGTTGACTAGTTACCGCCTCTACCATGTATATATGACCCTGTGCTGGCATGGGCATGTCCCCCAGCTTTGATATCAATTAGGTTTCTGGGGCATCCTTCGTTGCAAGCACGCATGACCCTGACAGGGGCCTAAAAGGCCTTTTTCACCAGACTCGGATGACAGACTAGATGAATCAATAACTATCCTAAAAGACAGTCAAACCATGAGATACCTAGGGGCCCAATGTGGGAACAAACCCAATCATAAAGACCCCAGGCCCACAATCATAACAAACCCCTCACCCAATGGAACAAAACCCACCCAACCATTGAGGGTAGATGCCTTACCATCCAAATGACCATTGGGGGAATGACCCAATTCCATGCCCGGTGTCAGGGTACCAAGCTGCTCAGACTCTAAGTCGAGGGATCCCGAGCCTTCGCTGGAGCTGAGGCTGAGGGGGACAAGGTCAGTCTCAATGGGGGAACCCAGCAAAGCAGATTGTGATAGGGATTCCAGCTGAGCAGCAAGGGAAAGTGAGGACATGTCATTTGTATATACTATGTACAACATACCTGAGCAGCAAGGGGAGGTGAGAGAAGATAGTTATTGTCATGAACCTCTCAGCGCTAACAAGCGTTGTAACGGGGATTTGCTGGTGTACCATAAACCAGCCAAATCCCGTGATTCTACCACCCTTAGCCAATGTTCCCTCCTACACATTTCTTATTTTTCCTGATTTTTCTGACTCCATTTCCACCTGATGTTTCCCCTTCTCATTGTTCTTTCCTTATTTGTCATTACCGGACTCTTCCGTGATACCGTGACCAGCTGTATAGTTAGCTAGACAGTGAGGAGCAGCGGAATCCACCCAGTTAACAAACCTGTGCATGTGACCACTCCAACCCTCCCCCTCTCTTCTGTCTTGAGTCTAGTGGTGATAGACCCGTTATGGAATGGAGTGAAGCAAGAGTCATGAGATCACAGGAAGCAAGATCACGAGCCAGAAGATCAGAAGATCACATGAGGTCAGTGTGAGGCCCTGGCCCATGTCTATATTCCGCCCACAACATCAACTGCGATGCTAATTTAGTGTCGTGGAAGCTTCTCTATTTATTTGTGCCGAGAATGTATTAGAATGTATATAAACCCTCGGGGTAGCTGTAAAAGGCGGATCAGCCTTTACTTCTACCCCATTAATATACAGCAAATTCAAGCGTATACTTAGACAGACATCTGAGGCCTGAGGCGAACAGGGGAATGGAACGTTACCGTCCCCAAACTAGTAAGATACCTTTCACTTTTTTATGCTATATTCTCTTTTCCATTCTCGGCACCATGTTACCGGCGCCGAAACCCCATTTGGCAACGTGCGCGTCATCAGCCCCTGACAACACGCGACTTCGATCAAGTTCTCACGCGAACTTGTTGAACGACTCGACACCTCTTCTGGATGTCATGGAGATACAACACCAGGAGTATGTCTAACGCTCCCACCAACATGGCCAGCCCCTCCACTGGCTGTAGGGCAGAAGACAACACCACCTCAAGTGATGGTGGTGATCTGGGCCTGCAAGGGCCCAGGGACATGTCTCAGACGTGTCTCACCTATATGAGAGACGTTGATGAAGTCACAACGTCTGAAGCCCTTGCAGCTGAGACTCTCGCAGCATACGTCCCAATGTGCGCATTGCATCCTCCATCCCCAACCCACTCCCTTGCGTCTGAAACGGCACGAGTACTAAGAAATCGTGTCGACCAAGTCGACGACGACATCACTGACTTGAGGGGCGATGTCCATAACATGAATACCCAAATCTCTGGGAATAGCGATAACATCGCTCGTCTAGATCGTAACATCATTAAGGTGGAGGAAAGACTTAATGAGAAATTAAACGAAATTCTCCTCACGCTCTCTCGATGCGACGAGCCAAAGCCACCTGGTGGATAACCCACCTGCAAACCCTCCAGTGAACCCAACAACAGGTGGGGACCCTATCGTCATCTCTGACCAGACGAAAAAAACCGCTGTTGAGGTGCAGGCGCCCCAAGAGGTCCCTGTAGTCCCTGTTAATCAAACAGGTCAACCAATCATTGGGGTCCCCATACCTGGAGGGATCCCCACTGTCTCTGCTGTCGTCACAGAGGCGACAAGTTCATGCCCGTCTGTCGAGGTACAAGAATCTGACAGACGATTTGTTCCCATCTTTAGTGGAACTAAGCCACCTACCCCGTCGATGGCGCCAGTAACCACTGACACCAAGGGGAAAAGTAGGGAGATCAACCCAGGACAACTGGCTGGATCGTCGACTGTGGGGGAGAGTGGAACTTCTCCATCCCATTTCAGGCCAGGCTTCGTGCCTGCACCGTTCATTCTGTCGTCGCAACCCACGAACAGTGGGGTGAAAATACCATGCATTGACGCTACTCAAACGCATAATTTCCCTCCCAACCACAGAAGAAAGAAAACAGTGCCAATGAAGGCCACTGTGGAGATGATACAGGAGGAGGACGGTGATGCGGAAGTCACAAGTAATCGCGTGCAAGATGCTGATTCTAAAGCCCATAATCTGGGATATACCAGATTCAATTGGTTCAGAAAACCGAGATAAGTACTGTGTCTGGGTGATCACCAACACCTGCCCTGCTGGTGTCGGGGCCGTGCTCGCACAGGGTGAGGAATGGCAAACCTCTAACCCTGCTGCGTTTATGTCAAAGAAATTCACCCCGACTCAATGGGTGTATTTCGCCTATGAGCTGGAAGCTCTAGGCATTCTGGAAGCGCTCACCAAATGGCTCGACGAGCTGACTGGTGGGCGAAAATTCACTGTGGTCACTGACCACAAGGCGCTTACTTACTTCAAAGAGAAGAATCACACTGCACCACATCACATTTGTTGGCAAAATTTCTTTCACGGTTTCAATTGTGACATCATGTATGTACAGGGCCACACAAACAAAGTGGCTGATGCCCTGTCGTGATACTATGAATCCTCGTCAGACGAGGATGTCCACTAT